ACACGTCGTCAGCGCGCACTTGGTTCTCACCTGGGATGCAATACGGTTGATGATATAAATCCTGCATTACCCATAATAAGGAATATACCAGAATTCCCATAGTTTAGGGTCCTCAAGGTACTGCAGGATTTATATCATCACAGTAGCATGCCTGGTTTGAGCTTCTGTTTCTTTGGGTGTTTGGAGGCCTCGGAAGTCTATGTCTTAGGTAGCTTTTGGCTTCAATATCTCGGTGCCCATCCACACCCTCTTCCGCTCCTGCAACGTGATCGCGTCCGTGCTGCTAGGGCGCCATGGCAGAATTAAGGACTAAAGTTTAAAGATCAAGGCTGCGAGAAGTGGGTTTGTCAGGTCAGCCACATGCCTCGTGTTGAGCATTCCGTAGTGAGCCTGTGCTCATGGACTTCCCTAACATGGACACGCTCAAGCGCTGTCTTCGTGCTTTGAGACCGTCGCACCTGCAGCATCTTGGCCAGTGTCTTCCTGCTCGGAAGGTACGCCCTCTTTCGCCAGCGCTACACGATGAAGCAGCTGGTTTGCGTTGTTGTCATCACAGCTTCTGGTCTGAACCAGAGATTCGGAAGTCCTCTTCTATCCGGCGCTCCCCACAAGAAAGCCCTGTGAAGCCTTTGCGATCTCGTCTGTATCCAGTCCCAAGTCGGTTGCGATAGACCTTCAACTGCCGACCCCAGGTAAAGCCTTCCCATCCCTGCAGTCATGTGATTCTTGCTTTCAGGTCCAAAGCCTTAAGTTTTCGTCGTGGTTGTCGGCATTTGTCTCGGTCGTTGTCAGCCTGTGTCATCCTCGTCGACTTCCTTGTCGTCGTCGGTGTTCGTCGTTGTTACCGTCGTGTTTAAGCAGCCCAAAATCAAGAGCTTCAAACCCTATGGCACTATGGCACTAAGGCCCGAAAGCCTCAACCGTAGTTTGTAAAGCTTGAATTTGAAGTCTCGAACACGGGAGCCAGGTTGGCATCTTCCTGGGCAGTGCCGCTTGATCGCCAGTGTAGCAGAGGCTTAGGGGCTGTCGCTTCTAACCTTGATCCCCGAGAGCCCAAACCCTAAGCCTTCATGTAAGGGCTGTGGGTATGCCCTAAACTCCTGGAGTGTATGCTTGAAGAGCTGAACTTCGTTTGCCAAAGCCCCTTTGCTCTCCTCTACTCTGCACGAACCCCAAAACTCTAGCACTCTCCAGCCGAGATGTTGAGCTCTCGCACCATCGGCGAGATTTCCGAAGCTTGCAAGGGCTTTGGACCCGTAGGCCCTAAACCCTCAATCTGGAGCCGGGTCTTAAGCTTGAAGTCTTCTGTTCCGATGTCAGAAGCAGTCGAAGCCATCCGTCAGAGCGAGGTGGGTGATGCCAAGCAGTTCTTCGGCTGCACCGACTGTGGCGGCAAAGGGGCAGGCGCCGCAACGCATGAGAGCCTGTCCTGGGTGCTGAAGGGGATGAAGCTTAGGTCAGGCTTGGGGTAGATCAGGGGCTCGGATGTGTTGGCAGCGTCCTTGCTGATTGCAGATGTTGATGAGAGGTTCCGCGAGAGTATGTACACGCTGAGACTAAATCTACGTCAGGTGCTGCTGCCTCTTCCGACGATGCCGGCTTCATGAGGCCTGCAGAGCTCAGCGGGGTTTTATCAGGGCTTTCGGCTTTAGGGGCTTTGGGGGCTTTGGGGTTCAGGGTTGAAGGTTGGGGATTGAGGGTGTGCGGTTTAGTGGGGATGTGTCCTTGTTCGGGGTTCCGTTGTTAGCTTTCCTAGCGCACAGAGCACAGTCGGGTTAAGGGTTCAGGGCTAAGGCCTATTTGCATGGAGGTTCACGGATAGCAGATAGCAAGTTGAACGCGCCGGCAGTGGGCAACAAGCACTGTGCAGCATGTCGTTGCGGGCGTATGTAAAGGAATCCCTACTTCTTACGAAAGCCGGCTTTCAAGCCAGGACCATGTTCTCACGGGCAGTGAATTTTGCTGCTTGTGCCCTCGAGGGAGCACTCGTCTGGCTCGTCGCAACACAAGAGCCGAGACACAACAGCGATGCCCGTTTTAAGCCTGCACGGTGTGGGCGTGCAAATTCGAGTTCCCCTTGAGCAAGTGGCAAATTCTATGAGGAAAGGCGGCAAAGCAGCGAAAGAAAGGCAGCGAGCAGTGGAGGGAAGATGGAAGCTTCGTTCCGCCGTAGCAGCCTTCGAGGTCAGCACCTGTGTAGGAGCCCTTGAAAGAGCCCTTAAAGGAACCTCTGCAGAATCCTTGAAGCAGCCCCGAATCCCGAACCCACAAGACCAGCTTCAGGTGGACTTTTGGCATCGCTCTCCTCGTTTTCGTGCAGCTCTTGCAGGGTTTTCTAGGCCACACGCAGGCTCACCTCTACAGGCCCAGGGGTAGGGATTCGGTTAGTGTTGCATAGGGTTCCTTCGGAATCTCTTGGCTGGCGTGTACTTTGGGCGTTGCTGTGGGGATACTCAGCACCCTGCATACACATCAAGATTTGAGAGTCTAGGACTTTGTATTTGCTATGGTTTCTGGGCACGTTTGCCAGGTTTTCTTTGCCCGTTTTGGAGGGCGTGGTGCACAGACTTGCCATAAACACAAGGGCCCACAGCACTCCTTCGCTGCACTACAGCTACCTGCGACTCTGCTGACACCCTCTGCCCGAGCAATCCCCATACCCAAACCTGCCGCATGGCCCAAGGCCCTCAAAACCCGAAGCCCTCCACTCTGAAGCGTAAAGGTCAACCCTAGGCCCTCAACCTCTGTGAACCCCTGAAAGCCTAAGCCCCACCGTCCTTTCGAAGCACGGGAGGCTTCACTGCCTCCGCGGGACCAAAGGCGAACTAGCGGAGGAGTTCCTCTTCACCTCTCACGTGGCCTTTGGGCGCTAAACCCGAAAACCTAGGTTCTGCTAAGGGTTCCACAAAGGTCGTATAAAAGATTTAGTAAAAGGACACTGCAAGGGTTCCTTAATGGTGGCTTTTGTGGGGTTCCTTCAAAGGTTCTGCAAGCGTTCCTTCAAGGGTTCCCTCAAGGGTTCCTTCAAGGGTTCCTTAAGGGTTCTTTCAGGGTTCTTCAGGCTTTGATACTCTAAAACCCAGAGAGGAACGGGGAGCTTGGGGGTGGAGCTTCGAGTTTACGCTCCCCGAACCCTAAACTTATCCTCCACACCCCCAAAGGCTGCCCTACGCTCTTGCCGCAAAATTTTTTCTAGGAGGGGGAAGTTTGAATCACGGGTCGCGAAGCTCTCCCTTGGCCTGACTGGAAGAATGTTGGTGTGCTCGTAGTAGGGAGGGGTTTGACTGCAAAGCTTGCAGGGTTTCAGAGATGTCCCAAGCGTGCATGAAATCTACTACTTTGTCCTACAAACTTGCAAGCAAGATGCAAAGTACCTGAAGTGCAGGCATGACTGCCCCAAACCAAACACATCACGGGCTTCGGTCTCATGTGCCTGGGCCTTCGTGGCCTTGATTTAGAGTTTGGTACGTAGGTCATGGAGCATCAAGTCCTTTGAGGCCAGGGGACTGCGGTGTGGCATTCAGGTGTCCAGGTTCAGGGTGCAGGTGGAAGGCTAGAGCCCACGACCCACCTGAGATTCGACAAGGGCGTAACCCCGAACGCAAGAAATCCTTGAGATGAGGATGTAGCCAATAGGATCCGACTACTTGGGTCTATACTGTGCTTCCCACAAGTCTTGCCTTGCGTGCCAAGGTAAGCTTTCTACCTTTCATCTTCCTCTGGTCGGATGTTCTGGCCGCTGCCAGGTGGGTTCGGTGGTTTCGAGCTGGGAGTTTCGGGCGCGTCGGTGGCTTTGGGCTTGGGATTCTTCCGAGAATCACATTCGCCTCATGTACGGCTGCTTTAAAAGGGCAGCTGAAGCAGGAGGAGCAGGACGACGACTACTACTGCTGCTGCTTCTACTGCTACTACTTCTACTACGACCAATTCTGCTGCCACACCGACAACTAAGACGACTGGGACGACGACGGTGACGACGACTAACCAGTACCACGACCGCGACAACTTCTAAACCACGACCACTGCCACTACCGCTCCGACTGACTATGGCTAGCAGGACCACTTACCTTCACCCTTTTCACCACCAGATCCGAAACCTCAAGCCAGGTTGGCCTGGAATTCGCCACCGTTGTTTGACTGGCTTCCGATCCCGTCCCAGCTGCTGCCCGCGACTCAAGCCTCCCGAGAGTTCCTAAATTCGGCGGAACGCAGCCAAGACCTTGCCTCCTAAACCGAAGGCACGCAGCGGAACCTCAAACACCACCCTCGAAGATCCCAAAGAGCACCGGAGAGCACCGGAGCTTCAGACAACACCCCTTAGCAGGTTAAGAGGGCTCCAGCCTTTAGCCCCAGAGCCCTCAAAGTGAGGGCCGCAGGGATCTGATACTGCGCGAGTTCGGTTCCGACGGTTTTTTCGTCGTATCGAGGTTTGGTGAAAGGGTTGATGATGAGTGTACAAGTTTGCATACTGCACCTATAGGGGGGCCGTTTTCGAATTTGGGTCCAACAGGGGACTGGTGCGTGGCTGAGGTACTTCCTGGCCAACAACCTGTGCCAGCTGGTGTGTATCAAAGGGGTCGGAATCTGAGGTGCTCGAAGTGCCAACTCACCCCCAACCCTAAACCCCAAAACCCCAAGCCCTAAAGCCCAGACTCTATCCCCTAAACGCTTCTAAACCCTCAACCCTAAACCCCTAAACCCTCTAAACCCTAAACCCTGAACCCCTACACCCTACGGTAAACCCACAAGCCCCACCATCCGGAGCCTTGAACCCAACATTGGGCCATGGAGGCACGGGAGTCGTGATTGCAACGATTTTTTTAACCAAAACCCCGGAAGTCTCGACGTCAACTCCCAGATCTTGAGTTTGAAGGCCCAGGAAGTGAAGCAAGCTTGAGCTGCGCTCCAGACTTCGCCGGGTGTCCCCCCGCAACTTGACACCGATCCTGTCCCCTCAAACCCCCAAAAAACATCCAAAAACCATAAAATCCAAGCTCTGAGTCTTCCAACGAGGGGCCGCCAATTACAGCACAAAGTGCTGGTACCCAATCATACCCCACCAAGGCCTAATTTAGGTTTCAGTCAAGGGCTCCCAAAATCATAAGAAGAATGCCAACTTAATGTATTGTTATTTTTTTGCGTTGGTTAGGGGCTGAATTTGGGCTCGCTGAATTTGGATCTGGAGAACCAAATCGAGGTCTTCCGGCTCTCCGCGCACTTTACCCCATTGACGGTGAACATCACCCTGTCCGTGAGGAGCGGGTTTACGGCTTAGGGTTCGGGGGGTGTTCCATAGCTTGGAAATGGAGTTCGAGTTGAGGGCTTCAGGGGTTCGTTGAGGGCTTCAGGGATTCGTTAAGGCCTTCAGGGATTCGGGTGTCGGATTCAAGTGAAGAGAGTTTAGGCTTCTGGTGCCCTCAAGCCTGAACCCTGAACACTCAACTGCAGAAAGCCAATCGCTGGCCCCTCGGCAGCATCGAACCTCTCTCACACATATAAGAGTCCCTAAGCCCATCAATCCTAAACCCTAAACCCACATGTCCTTATTCTTTGAAGCCCTCGACTGCCTCCTCAGCCTCCGGCCGTTGCCGGAGGAAGTTCGCCTCCGTGATCGTCTCCATCCTTTGGTTCGGGTGCCTCGGACTGCCAAGCCTTTAGAGTTTAGGGCCTAGGGTCTAGGGTTTACCTCCCCTATCCTCAGATCCCAAAGCCTGCTGTTTCTGCCGCTGCCGTAGGTCCCTCCAACAAAGAGTGATGCTGCAGGGCAGCCGGCATACCATGTACGTCTCCCTACTTCTCTCCCAGAAGCCCCAATGCGGTCTCCTCAACCAGGTGAACCGAAAGCAGGAAGAGCTTGAGGCTACTTCGGGGGTTGAGGTCGATGGGTGCCAAAAACCTACAAGCAACCACGAGGACCTAAGAAGCGGTTCCTGGGGGCAGAGCCTGATTTCGAGGTGCCCACACGCTCCTAAGGCCTGCCAGTCCTCAAACTGGCAGGGATAGAGCTTGCACGTTGACTTCAGATTGAGTTTCAGATTGTAGTGCAATACAAGCCCTAACCCTAGACATGAAATTCTCCACACAGGAATCCCTGGACGGTGCTGCACAGCGTCGCAACAGTGGCCATCTTCGGTGTGGACACCCAGAACAAAATGTTCGAAGTCAGGATGTTGGTTAAACGTGGAAGATCGCTTCTCTGTGATGTACGGCTTTTTGTTGGCGAATGGGATGACCCACGGAATCAAGACCGGGCATCCCCATGCCGCCTTGACATTCGAAATCCAGTGAAAAGAAGCTTAAAACGTGCCATGGGATATTGAGCTGCAGCTTTTTGGCTAGAGGAGGTTGCCTGCAACCCTAAACTGGCCTTGCATCCATCCGCACCAAGCTCGACACTCAGGGGGCGTGTTCGCGTACTCGCAGTGCCCAGCAGCCACGAAGCTGCCGCAGGACGGAACCCTTCCACGAATCGAGCCCTCAGAAGCTTTCAAGCTCTAAACTCTGAAAGTCGAATCCCAAGTAGCGCTCGGAAGTGCGGGTTTCGCTGCCTAACGTTTATGCTTCGAGTTGGAGGCTTGGGGTAGAGACTTCTTCTCTGGTGACCGCGGGTGCGAGTTACATGCCTCAGAGATAGAAGGACCCCAAATCCTAATTCCTAAACCCGAGACCTCCTCGCCTTCTCCTTGCGGCTTGGGGTTCGGGTTTGGGTTTATAGGAATTGTCGATAGAGTTGGGGATGCTGGGTTGTGGACCTCGGGGCCTCTTCTGCGAGTTGGCGTTGGTGTGGGTGGAGTTATACGGTGAAGGGAGCTCACGGTGAGGCCAAAAGAACAGAGCGCTGACTACTTGGTAACCTTGTAACCCCTGCATAGCCTTTGTGCGCCTTCAGTATCTGGAAGCTTCGCTTGAAGTTTGAGGACCAGGATGTCAGTGCGTCTGCTCTCACCACCATTGTTGTCATGGATGTTGCTTTATTTATCAGTTATCACGTGAAGCACTACAGCCTCAAACCCTTAGCCTCGAAACCCCAAACCGCTAAACCATAAGCCAGAAGTGGCCGGAGGACAGCAAGAAGAAGGAGTGAGGTCTGCCACGGAGTCTCTCATGCATCACGAAAAGATGTCGATAGCCGGTGTCGGGTTTATGGCTTAGGCTTCAGGGTTTAAGGCTTCGGCTTCGGATTTTCAGGGTTTTGGAGTTTAAGCTTGAGGGTTTAGGATTTAGAGCCGCTTCTCCAGTGTTTGAGGGCCAGGCACAGGTTCTGCATAGCAGCAGCGAGGGCAACACTGGGTAGATAGCAAACACCCCTGGCAGCAAGCAGCCTTGAGTCGTAGTAGGCAGCAGTCAGCAGTAGCAATGTCCATCTATCTTTCTATCTCTTCTATCCCACTGTCTATCTTTCGAGCAAGCAATCGTTCTAGCAATCGTTGTATATGTGGTTCCGCATGTACAGTCGTATCTAATCCGCATATGTCGGCATATGTGTCTATCATCTACCTGTCTTTTTGTCTGTCCATCCGTCTGCCTGTTTGTCTCTCTGTCGTTGTGTCTGTCCGTCGGTCTTTCTGTGTGCAGAAGTGAAGTTACGTGATAAGGAAACCAGAGACATTGAGACAGAGGCTGGGAGCTTCTAAGGGCCTTCCTCGGCCCCCCTCTGGGTTTCAATCTCCAACACAAGCGTGGCCCGGGGCTTTTGTCCGAGAAGACCGGGGCATGTGATGGAGCTGCTTGTGGCCTGCTCAAGTTCGAACTCAAGCTGGGGTAGTTTGTTTCTTTCAAAGTAGGTTGGAAGGCAGCACGGCGATAAAAGTACCTGATCATCGTTTGGAGCCACGGCGGACCTTGACCAAGAAGAGATGAGTAAGTGCCGTGCACCTCCGGCCCAGGCTGTCTAGGACTGGACTCACAGGTCATATATTTATGTAATGCGTTTTGACAATCAATATATATATATACATATACATAATATATATATATATCTCTATCTATCTATATCGTATATTGCATAATATAACATATATGTTATATGGACAATGAGAAACCTTAAGCCTCAAACCCGGTGTTTGCAAGCTATGGTCCTCCTGGCTCACGATCCCGATGATGCTCTCCTGGCCCACTTCGTGGAGGGCGGCTCGGTTTTGGAGTGAGGGACCGGAAAAAAGGGGAGGCTGTAATAATCAAACTGGGATAGGGTTTTGGGGTGGAACATGTAGAGCATACTGACGAAAGCTGGTGAATAGGATCATAAACCATCCAGGCATCTATCTTATCTTTTTGAGGATTTCTGAGGTACTATATGGGTTCGTTAGGGTTCCTGACTATAACTCTGGTATACTTTACCGCAAAGCTCTATTCTAGGTTGTTGAGGCTATTCTAGACTGCTGAGGCTTCTATACCCTTAAGTGTTCTAGCAGAATATCCCTCTTCTAGTCATTAAGGTCCTCATATTCACGCCCAGCCCCCAGAACAGCCGAGACTCTCTGCGAGGCTTTCGAAGACTCCCGAAGGCGGAGGTGAAGCTTCTGGCAGCCCGGCTGAGCCCTAACTTCGGGCGATAAGGGATGGAGGGGTTACAAGGACTAGGGTTGAGGCTTAGAGGGGGATTAGGGTCATTGGAATGTAGGGTTTGGGTAGGAGAGTGCGGGATTTGGGGATCTGGCTTTATGGAGGTCCCGCCGAGACTTTGGGCAATGACACAGCAATAACAAGATCCCGCATTCCTGATGTTACACAAATCCCAGCTAGAGTCTGAGCAAAGCCCAACGCGTGACTTTGAGCGCAGAGTCGCGCATAAAGGGTTTCAGGGTGAGCTGTATGGTTTCGGTCGTAGTGTTTGGGACTTTGGGCCGGTGGCTCGGGTTTTGGATGCATCTTGATGGGATATGGGATGAAGGTTCATGCCTGTAGGATGAGGGAAGGGGGGTTCGTGCTTGGTTGAGAATCCTGAGGTTGGGATGGAAATGGGGTTCAAGACATCGGAGTCGTGGTAGCCGCAGCCGTTGTAGTAGTAGTAGTAGTAGTAGTAGTAGCAGTAGTAGTAGTAGTAGTAGTAGTAGTAGTCGTCCTAGTAGTCATTGTAGTGGGAGTCGCCGTCGCCGCCGTCGTCGTCGTAGTTGTCTTAGTATTGTATTGCTTCTATCAACTCTACTATATCAGGTAGAGGTGTGAGTGCGGCTACTGCGGCGTCACCTTGCTTCATGATCATAAACCCTAAACCTAAACCCTAGACCCCAATCCCTCAACCCTAGACCCTAAACCCTGAACCCTAGACCCTAGACCCTAAAAAATGGCTACGGCTCAAGGTCGTTCGAATCCTCGCATTCGCTTCTTGAACGTGTGGGCTTTTGCACATTCCGAGCCGTATACTGCTTCACAAGCATGGCATCGAGCTCACAGGCGAAACCTTCTGTCGCGAAGACTGCTAAAGGCACACGCGCGAAATCGGTGCTTTCAGTTGCGAATAATCACACCATCATCGAGGGTGCGCAGTCCGTGGCAGCGAAAGGTGTCGGCGGCGTGATCGCCAAACGTGAAAACCAGCTGCTGGCGACCCGCGCTGAAGACTTATTGGCGTACGGATCGCGCGTGGTGGTGGCTGTCCCAGGACTGGAGGAGAACAAAGGGGGAAGGAAGCCTGAGCATTATGGCTGCCCTCATCATTGGCTATATTCCTGGAAGCATTGCTGCAGTGCTTATCTGCCTCGTAGGGTTGTTTACAGGCGAGAACCTCTCGGACCGAATCGGCGTCCAGCCAAACTGGGTCCGCCCTACTGAGGACGAGACTCCTTTGGAGTTCTACCTGAGGTACCTGACCGCTCTGGGCGTGGATGCGCAGAATGGGGCAATTGACGTCTTCATGCTTGACATGCCTCCAAGCGCTTGCTGCATGTCAACCATGGTGTGCCTCCTCTTCCTCATCGCCGCTAAGCAGCAGGCCGGGCCTACTGCCATGACATACTTCCGCAACCGCGTCAACGCGTATGTTGGCCAGCTTGGGCCAATTACGCTCCCGGAAGGCCATCTCCTCAGCCACATGATCCGATCAGAGCTGGTTGATGAACTGGCCACCATCTCTCGATCGTGTCCAAGCATAGTAGGGTCATTGTATCGGCTTGTCAGACTGCTAGCGGACCCAACAATGCCTGCTATGTCACGTCCGGCCACCACGGCATTGGCGCTGGGCGCCTTTGCCCAGATGACGTCTACCGTCCTGGCGTTGAGGTTCGCGATGTGCGTGCCTGGAATTCTGAGCATGGACCGGTTGGCGGTCGAATTCAGGCGTCTGGCCGCTGGCCTTGATGCGATCAAGGCGACCGGCATCGACCTTGAGTACGCAAGGGTCGCGGATGCTGATGGGGCATCTCTCCTATCAGGACAATCGACGCCGAATTTGGCGGCGATTGGAAAAAAGATTGCACTCATCCTTGAAGGGAGCAGATGGGCGCAAGTTCGAATTCCTCCTGGTTCAATGGATTCGACAGTGGCATGTGCTGTTGCCATGTTCGAGGCCTCGAGGAATGTCCCGCGCGGGATCACTGACCCGGATGATGAAGACTCTGAGTGAATGCCTCATGCAAGTCAGGCTGAAGTTGGGTGACCAATTCTTCCTCACCAGTGACGTTGCTCACGGCTTCGCACCCGACTAGGACGGCTTTTTGCGATTCTCACGACCTTTTGGCTTGCATCTCGAACGACCGATCTTCGAGTGCCCTTTGAACCTCATGCAACATGTGAGACCCGAAGCGCTAGTAGCTACCATTTTCGTCGCCGGGTCCTAAACTTTCGTGCATAGAAAAAAATGGGGATTGGGAGAGCGACTGGAATGAGGAGGATCTTACGCTCAGTGAACACCGCATTGGACGGGAGTGGCAAGCCTAGTGACTGCGGAACTCTGGCACCTGCTCCGTGTCTCCGGGGTTGTGCGACCTCTTCCGCCTTGGCGGCGTTCAGGACCCTTTGTGGAACCCTAGGTCACAGGGCGGGGTGAACGCAATCCTCGTCATGGTTTGCCTCGCAATGCCCCTCGTCGTGATGCTCCTCTCCCTGCTTCCAGTGGTCAATTCTCCGGCGAGGATGAGATCAGTGGATACAATGACACGTGGCGTACAATTGTTGATGCTCATATTCGTAGGGGAGTTCCGGTTCCAGACCATACACGCCGAGTCTTTGATCTCCTCCTGCAACGAAGCGTGCGACCTACTGTGTTGCGGACGCCAGTGCCTAGTGATGATGAGCCTGTCAGTCCTGATGAGGTTGGTCGTCCGCCGGAAGGTGTGCCTACTGGAGTGCTGCCCTCGTCTTCTGTTCATGCTGACCATGCTGACGTGCCTGTCGGAGAGGATGAGTTCTTGCATGAAGATGAGGACGTGCTTCTTCTACCTCCTGGTGATCCGGATACACTTCTTCCTGTGCATGCTTCCGGTGATGTATGCGCGGGTCCTGCACCTGGTCTTCATCTACCTGCCGGTCCTGGGGAGATACCTGATGGCTCTTCTGGCACCGCAGTTGCTTCAGTACCTTCCCTGGTGCTTGGATCGGTTGTTGCGGACCCCGTGGGTGGCCTCACTGGTGATGCTGATGTTCCTGGTGAGTTGAGTGGTACAGCAGTTGGCCCAGTACCTTCCCTGGAGCTCGGCTCGGTTGTTGCGGACCCCGTGGGTGGCCTCGCTGGTGATGCTGATGTTCCTGGTGAGTTGAGTGAGGGCCTTCCGGGCTGGTCGTAGTGGGGGCTGCTGCTGATGTATGTGTAGCTGTCAGGTGTAAGCCCTATGAAGGGCGAACATTGGATCCGACCTTGGGCTAGTGCACTTTAAGAAAAAAAACCCTGACCCTAAACCCTAAACCCTAGACCCTAAACCCTAAGCCCTAGACCCCCCTAAACCCTAGACCTTAACCCCTAAACCCTAAGCCCCTAAAACCTTCTCCTGATGCATCTCAGCTTTCCTTGTCTTGGGAGTTCCTGAGGTGGCCGAGAGCCTTGGAGGCCGGTCTTCCCGCGGGGTGCTGGCTTTTTTCCCACGGTTTTTAGGGTTCCTTAAAGGGGGGGGGGGTCCTTGAAGGGCTTCTATACGGGCTTCTATAGAA